TGGAACTGTCTGTGCACTAGAGACCCAAAGAATCCAGCTGAGGGCCTGGATATCACAGCAATGTCCCACACAAGTCCAGCTAAAGGCCTAGAGCCCAAGGCAATGTCCTCCACAAGTCCAGCTAGAGGCCCAGGGCCCACAGCAATCTCTTATGCAAGTCCATATGGAGCATCTGCTCCAGGAAGGCCCAAAGGCCAGTGGTAGAAGCTAGAAAGCCTGCCCAGGCAGGGTGAAGGATTTGTGCTACCAGATTGAGGGATCTGCACTGGAGCCAGGAAGTGATGCTCAAGGTGAAGATCAGAGCTCCCCTGATGAGAACAGCAGCCATTGCCAGTGACAGCAAAGACCTGAGCTCTGACGACAATGAGAACAGCCAAGTTCACTTCAGGAAAACCATGACAAGCTTCTCCAAGAAAATCAACAACAAACAATCTTCCCCTCCAGGTCTCTTTTTGTATGCCATTGGCAACAATCCTCAGATGGGTCTTCCATGCCCAGAAACACACTGATTCAGTTCAGCTGGACATTACAAGGTGACCATTAGTTAATCCACCACAGGTCCCACCCCATTTTTAGCCCATTGAGCTATAAAACTCATGAATACATTAACCCACTAAAGAAGTTGGAGCCCTCACGATCCAACCACTTCCCAAAGTCCCAGCTGTTTACACACTGCATTGAGGGACCGAGTCCCCAACCAGATGAACCTCGGATTCATTTCCTATCCAAACCGCAGCAGGGGACCTAGCCCCACAGACACATGGCCACCCTCACAGCTTTGGTGACATGGATTATTCTTCCCTTTGGACAAATGAGGAAACCAAAGCCTAGAGAGAATATTTCTTTTTTATTTTTTCTACCATCTTTTATTTTGCTCTTTGTTTATATTTTCTGTTTCTCATATAAGAAAAATCATGTGATATTAAAGCTTGTGTGTCTGATTTACTTCACTTAACATTGTGGTGCATCCATTTTTCCTACAAATGACTGGTGTGTATTTTTCTTTATGACAAAGTAGTACTCCATTGTGTGTAAATATCATATTTTCTTTATCCATTCCATCTGTTGGTGGACATAGAGGCCACTTCCAAGATTTAGCTACTATGAGTTGTGCTACTATAAACATGGGTATGCATGTATCACTATAATATGATGTTTTTAACTCTTTCAGGAAGATATCTAGGAGGGAAATAGCTGAGTGAAATGAAATTTCTTGTTTTAGTTTTTTGAGGAATCTCCATGGTGATTTCCATAGTAGCTTACATTTACATTCCCACCAACAATGAAGGAGGGCTCCTTTTCCTCCTCAGCTTCATCAACATTTGTTATCTGATTTCTTTTTGTTGTTGTTTCCTGATTTCTTGATGATAGCTAAGAATGTCTTTCTTTGGCATCTCCTGAAAGCTGACCCTGAGACAACAGTTGAACTACAAGTGCTATGTTTGGGGAGTGATCCATCAGAAATGCTGAAAGTAGTGAACGGAGACAGGGAAGCAAGGGTCAATAAAAGGTTCATTTTTAAGCAAGTTTCCATGGTGGGTGGCTGGACCTCAGTCCCATGGGACAGTGTAGCACATGCCCCTCAGTCACCTCATACCAAGGGCACGGGAGCTGTGGTATTCATCCTCCATCTCTCACTGTCTGCCATGAAGGTAGAGTTCTGCTGAACCCTCTCCACTAACCATCCCTCTCCACTTGCATTTGCTCTTTCAACAAATACCTATATGTGCCAAGGGCTGGTTAATCCATCAGGCACTTGAAATGCACAGCATATCAGGCCTGCAGCTAATGAGGGCATCTGGGGGAAACACACACACACATACACACACACACACGCAAGCACGCACACACATGTGCACATGCTCTAAAAACTGTACTACAGTTTCAAAAGACACAAGAATAAATTTACAAACTTTATTAAACATGAAACTCCACAGTCACAATCATTTCATAATATACAATTTGCAAATAATTTGTTCTCACTTATCAATAATTATAGCCAGTGATGAATTAAATGAGCTACACATAGGCAAATAAATGCAATAGATAAAAACAAAGACTTTATCAAACAGGTTTACAGAAAATAATAAATATTATGTGGTATGAGGGGTTTGTTTTATTTTGGTTTTGTTTTCACTATGTAACCAGGCTGGCCTCAAACTTCTAGGCTCAAGGATCCTCCTGCCTCAGCCTCTCAAGTAGATAAGACTACAGACATGCACCCCTGTCCTAAGCTTGAGGATGTTTCTTAGTTATTTGTTGTAACAGAGGTGGGACAATGGCTGCTGTGACCCTATCTCCTCTGAGGCTCCAGGGTACCCTAGATCTGTCCCTAACCTGGGCTTGTGAAGTCTTGACCTCCAACCCACTCCCCATGTCAGCCACTGCCTCAAGGTATCTGAACAGGGTTCTGTTAGGGAGGAGGGTGCACCACACCCTCTTCCAGGCTAACTCTCCAAAAACACACCTATCCAAGAAAAATGAACAAAGCCTAAGGGATGTGTGGAAAACAAGAATTTAAAAAGAACAGAATGGGGCAGAATGAATATCTGAAGAAATAATGGCCCAAAACTTCCCAGAGTTGATGAAAGACATGAATTCACATATCCAACAAGCTCACGGAACTCCAAGTAGGATAAACACAGAGAACCACAGTGAAACATATTAAAACCACACACGCACACACACAGCTCCCTATGTCCATGCCTCTTGGCCACCCCTCTTGGCACCTAATCTCCTATCTGAACATTCAGCTGTGAGAGACAGGTGAGCCTCACCTGGATGAGGAGGCAAATAAATGAACAAACCACTCGATTCTTAAATCCAAGCTGTGGTAAAATAGGAGAAAGGACACAAAATTAAGTAATACCAGCTGGACAGCAGTGGATAGGCAGAAAGAAAGCCTCCCAAGGAGGTCCCATTAGACCTAATGAACAAGAGGCAATCTCAGGAGAACCTGAGGGTCTCTCAGATAAAAGGGGTGTGTGTGTGTGTGTGTGTGTGTGTGTGTGTGTGTGTGTGTGCACGTGTGTATGAAAAGGGCCTGGGGCAGAAAGAGCTTGACAACAAGGAGGACCAGAAAGGAAACTGGAATAAAGGTGGCAGAAAAGAGATGGCACCAGAAGTCTTGTAGGTTATAGTGGGAATGTAGATTTAATTCAGGGCATGGGTAAGCAGTCACAGGAATGTGCCAGCATAACTATCAGCAGGAGTGTGCCATAATCTGATTTCAGTTTTAGGTCCACCCTGGGCACTGCATGGGGTACAGAACATAGAGGTAAATTCAGGTATATTTCTGCAAGAACATCTCTGATCTCATCCATCCAAGCTCATGAGACATGACTTCCATTGAGAGATGTAGGTCTACATCCAAACCTTGATGTTGCAAATGACAAGTGTGTTTGATAGTTAATCTTGACTGTCAACTTTGGCTTGCGAGATGCCTGGGACATGAGAAATGTATACTTCTGGGTGTGTCTGGGTGGGCCATGGGTCATGACCTTGAGGACGGTACCTGATCCCTAGCCTTTTCCTCTTGGGCTCTTACTTGCTTGCTCTGCTTCCTGTCATGGGTTGAGCAGTTTTTCCCTCCATACCCTTCCACCCTGCCACTTCTATCTTGAAACCAGCTGACCATGGACTAAACCCTCCGAACTGGGAGCCAAATTAAAGCCTTCCTCCTTTAAATTGCAGGTATCAGGTGTTTTGTCTCAGACACAAAATGCTGATCAGCACAGAGTGTAATGCCCAGTGTAGCCGAAAAGGTAATGTAGCTTCTGCCTTGTTCATTTTTGGAGCCCTGGGAAGCTGTCTCAGAAGTCCAACGCCACCATACTGAGAGGAAGTGGAGGACACATGAAAAGGCCCATGCAGTTGCCCTAGTCCACAGCTGCAGTGGAGGTTCCTGCCCAGAGCAGGCATCAATGCATCTGTGCAGTGGTGTGGGCATGATGCATCCCCGAGGGCTTCGTGTGCTGGAAGCTCGGTCTCCAATGTAGCTATGTTAAGGGATGGGGCCAAGAGGGAGGACCTTAGGTCAATGGGCTGTGGCCTCAGACTGAATTAAGGCAGTTCTCAGGGATGAGTAGGTTGTTGTAATAGTAAGCCCCACCCCGAGTCACTCTCTGACTTCCTGTCTGGGTATAAGATTTCTTGCTGGCCCCTTTCCATCTTTCTCTTCTGCATTGTGACACCAGAAGCCTGACACCTTCGCCAGCACCAACCTGGTGAACCTCCAGAACCGAGTTAAACAAACCTCTTTGCTTTATAAAATTACCACCCTTAGGTTTTTCATTATCCTAACAAAAAACTGATTGATACAACGTATGACTGAAGATGCCTCCAGGTGAACCTGTGGCCCCTCTCTCCCATTTTGAGTACAAACAGCAATGCCCGCTCTCCCCTGTCCCTGTTCCTGACCTACAGCAGCTGTGAGCAGCCGTTTACACCAAGTTTTGGGACAGCTTTTTAAAACAACCGTAGTAACTGGAATGTAGGCTGAGGAGGTTGTGAGCAAGCTGGGTGCGGAGGGAGAGGCAGAAGCGGCACTGGGGAGACCAAGGAAGAGGCCCGGGGGAGAGCGAGCTACTGAAAAGGATGCTGAGGCTTGCACCAGGTTGAAGTCGTGGATGGAAAGGGAAGAGGAGGATTGGGTGTAGGGTGCATTTGGAGGCAACCTGGGGAAATGATCCCGTTTATACAGATGGGGAAACTGAGGCATGTAGCATCATCTAGAGAGTGAGTAAGAGAGCAGTCTAGGGCCGAGCCTGTGCCATTGAATTCCCAGTTGGAGCGGAGGAGGGCGACCCGCAGCCCCCATCCTGCGCCCTCCAGGCCCGGGGCAACTACATCTCCCAGCAACGCCCGCTCGAGCAGCTGGAAGGGGAAGGGAAAAAAAAGTTTGGGCCAAGCATTCCCGGAATGCGCTTCCTGCGGCCCGGAGGCAGGGCGGGCGGGGTGCGGGGCGGGGCGCGGGGTGGGGCGGGGCGCAGGGATGGGCAGGGGGGACGCGTTTGGCTCGGCGGCCCGGGCCCCAGCATGGCCGAGCCGCTACTGCGGAAAACCTTCTCCCGCCTCCGGGGCCGGGAGAAACTTCCGCGGAAAAAGTCAGACGCCAAGGAGCGTGGTGAGAGGGCCGGGGTGCGGCGGAGCACGGAGGCACAGAGCCGCGCGCAGCCTGGGGGCCTGGGACCCCCAAGGAGGGACAGCTGGAGGGACAGTGGCGCCCCACGGAGCCCCCTACGGGCCGTGGCGCACACGGCCAGGGCGCGCGGGGGTCCTGGGAGCCCGGGTCTGCGTGGATTGGGCGCGCGGACCGTTATGTGCGGCCGGCCGGGATGGCTCGGTGGGAGGCCCGGGAGGGGGCCTTGCCCCAACAGGAAATGGGGTGGCGGGGAGGAGGGGCAGGAGGCTGGGACGCTGGCCCAGCCCGGGCGGGCAGGGGGCACCGCAATGGGACATGGTGGGGAAGGGGTCATGCTCCTGCATCCCACCCCGCTCCCGTCCACACACTGCTAACTGTCGCTGTGCCTGCCTTGGGCAGCCCGGGGAAACTCTTCCCTTATACAGATGGGGAAACTGAGGCACGTGGCAGTTTCAGTGGTTTGCCCAGAGCCGAGTAGAGTGAGTTAAACAGCGATCTGGCCTATGTTACTCACAACAGACCTCTGAGATGGGGTCCTGGGAGGTGGCCAGGGGAGGGGATCAAGGGACAGCGAGACAAGACCTTAGGGAAACTGGAATTCATGGGACGGGTGTGTGGGAAGAAGCTAGCTAAAGGAGAGCGGCTCCACCACTGCACAGACCTGACCTCCTCCCCAGCCTTTCCCAAAGATCCCAAGGTTCCCAGGGCCGGAGAAGGGAAGGGGGTGCCCACACAGAAACACACAGGAAATAGTCTATGATGTCAGATAGGGGATGGAGCAAACGGGAGGCCACAAGGCCTTGACAAGGCCTGGACTGAGGGACAGGACCCACCCCAGGGTAGGAACAGAGTTTGGGGTGCAGGTCAAGTTCCCTGTCAGCCCACTCCAATCTCCAGAGCGGCACAAGCCAGCATCTGCTCGGAGCTGTGAGCTTGGCCGTGACCTGGTGTCTAGGGAGCCCTTCCCACACCAAACCCCCTGAAGCCCTCCTGGAGGTCAGCACCACGTCTCTCCTTCCGAAGGAGGATGCTGAGGCTCAGGGAGGGGAAAGGACTCGCTCAAGTTCACCCTGTGAGCAGGGCCAGGCACACACTTCTGTGCTGGGATTAAACAGAGAGTAGGAAGAGTGAAAACTGGATCCAGGGGCCTGAGGGACCAAGGACAGCTGACCTGGGCCCTGAGGCTGGAGGGACTCAGCCCCCTTTGGAATGCTAGGAACTGAGCTGGCGATGCGGGAGATCGCTGGCCTGTGGCTACCCATTCCAGATAAGACGGCGGGTCCCTGGGGGCAATGACTGAAGCCCAGGACAGGACAGGGCATCCCACGTGTCAATCAGTGGCTTGGAATGAAGGCCAGTACTAAAGTGACCTCACAAGAGCCCTGGGCTGGGGCTGTTTTAGGGGAACTGAGGGGCTGCATCTCACTCCCTTTGCTCTCCACCAGGCCGCCCAGCCCAGCACCCAGAGCCCAGCCCGCCAGAACCCCAGGCCCTTGAAGGGCCCCAGGCAGGAGCAGAGGGACCCCTCAGGCCGGAGGCACCTCGGAGCCCTGCCCGGGGGGTGTACCTGCAAAGCCTGGAGCCCAGCAGCCGAAGATGGGTGCTGGGAGGGGCCAAGCCACCTGAGGAGGTGCCTCTGGGGCCAGGGATACCTAGCAGTGGGGAGCCCGCTGGCGAGATCTGGTACAACCCCATCCCAGAGGAAGACCCCAGACCCCCAGCACCTGAGCCACTGTGGCCACAGCCAGGCTCTGCTGAGCCAGAGAACCCAACCCACCAAGGTAGGTACAAGTGTCACCCGGGTCACTATGTTCACCTCCATACTCCCTGGTGGCCACGGCCTCACCCCCACCCTCAGGTGACCACAGCCTCGCTCCTGCCCTGGGCCCAGGCTCGGAACCCTAATGTCTGCTCTCACCGCAGGTGCAGCCCCCGCCAGCCCCCCAACCAAAACCTCCCGAACCAAGTCCCCGGGCCCTGCCAGGCGCCTCTCTATGAAGATGAAGAAGCTGCCCGAGCTGCGGCGCCGCCTGAGCCTGCGGGGGCCCAAGGCTGGCCGGGAGCGCGAGAGGGCTGCCCCAGAGGGCTCTGTCATCACCCGCTACCACCTGGACAGCAGTGTGGGGAACCCCCGGCGGATGGCAGCTGCTGGGAGCACTCAGAGCGCCAGGGCTGTGTACCTTAGTGATAGCGATTCCCCCGAGCGCCCGGCAGGCCCCCCATCGCCTGCTGCCTTTCGGCCCTATGAAGCAGGCCCAGCGGCCCGGGTGCTGCCAGCTGCACTCTGGGGCCGCCTCAGCCTGCACCTATACGGGCTCGGGGGACTGCGGCCAACACCAGGGGCCACCCCGAGAGACCTCTGCTGCCTGCTCCAAGTGGATGGGGTGGCGAGAGCCCGCACAGGACCCCTTCGAGGAGGGCCGGACTTCCTACAGCTGGACCACACCTTCCACCTGGAGCTGGAGGCCGCCCGGCTACTGCGGGCCCTGGTGCTTGCTTGGGACCCTGGCGTGAGGCGGCACCGGCCCTGTGCCCAGGGGACTGTGCTGCTGCCCACAGTCTTCCGAGGTAGGTCATGGGATTTAGAGCAGGAGGGACAGGGTACAGCACCCAGCCCAGGGTGGCCCCTACCCTGAAAGTGCCCAGAGGGTTGGGCTCTGGGGGAAAGATATGACCTGCTCTAGGAAGGGCCAAGACCCGGGAACCTTTGGGACACATGTGACCTGGATCCTCTTGTGTCCTCAGGCTGCCAGGCCCAGCAGCTGGCCATCCGCCTGGAACCCCAGGGGCTGCTGTATGCCAAGCTGACCCTGTCGGACCAGCAAGAAGCATCCGCCACAGCTGAGCCCCGTGTCTTTGGGCTGCCCCTGCCACTGCTGGTAGAGCGGGAGCAGCCCCCAGGCCAGGTGCCTCACATCATCCAGAAGTGTGTTGCACAGATTGAGCGCCGAGGGCTGCGGGTGAGCCCCTGTCCCCTCCCCTGACCCCCGAAGTTTAGATCCACTCCCCCCCCAAAACCCCCACAGTATGGACACCAGACCTCCCACCAGCCTGGGCTACTCGTAACTCAAACCCCAACCTAGACAGACAGGAGACCTCTCCCCTCAGATCACAGCACCCATGCCAGAACCCTGGGTTCGTCCGTCCATGTAATAAAAGGACCTGGGCCCTCCTGGAGCTCAGTCTCCTGGGAGAAACACATGACTCTAATAGGTCACAAATGTAAAGGTGGCTGGGGTGTGATGGAGCACACCTATAATCCCAGCATGTGGGAGGGTGAGGCAGGAGGTGTAGTGAGTTTGAGGCCAGCCTGAAGTATATAGCGAGACCCTGTTCCAAAAAACAACAAAAGAAAGAAAGAAAAGAAAGAAATGGGAAGAACCTGGGGTCTGCAAGAGCTTAAGGGCAGGCCTGAGGTGGTCAGGGAAAGCTTCCTGGAGGAGGACATGACAAGCGATCTGAGAAGCCAGAGGAAGCAGTGCAAGCAGAAGGTTTATAAGGCCACATCCAGGCAGCCAGGATGGGGTTCCAATAACAGGTGTCGCAGGAGCAGAAACATAACAACTGATGCTTCTTACAGCCACTTGCCTGGCCACACCCCCAGCCCCCACAGCAGTAGGCCCTGGTCAGTGTGTAGCCCAGACAAAACACCCTCTGTCCCCACCCCTAGGTAGTGGGCTTGTACCGTCTGTGCGGCTCCGCAGCAGTGAAGAAAGAGCTTCGGGATGCCTTTGAGCGGGATAGTGAGGCTGTCTGCCTCTCTGAGGACTTATACCCTGATATCAACGTCATCACAGGTCAGCATGACCCCCTTCACCTCTGCGGACTCATCTCCTTTCAACCCTCAGGTCAAGCTGGGCTGGGGGCCCTACTGACTCCACTGGTCTAACCTTGTTTGCACTCTTCTGCACCTGTCCTCCTCCTCTGCCCCCCTACTCCCAGTCCCAGGGAATCCTCTGGTCTTGGAAGCCACTGATGCCCTGACCATAGGGGTCCTGTGTCCACAGGCATCCTCAAGGATTACCTTCGAGAGTTGCCCACCCCACTCATCACCCAGCCCCTTTATCAGGTGGTCCTGGAGGCCATGGCCCGAGGCCCCCCAAGCAGAATTCCTCCAAGTCCTGAGGGCACCCGAGGGCTCCTCAGCTGCCTGCCAGATGTGGAAAAGGTGAGTCGGCCCTGGTGGGAATGGTGGGAAATGGGGTGAGCAATACCAGAAGAGCACTTCACCCCTGCCTGAGCTTGCAATAGGCACGAACTCATGGGACCATCACATTCCTACAAAGCAGGTACTACTGGTACCTCCATTTGTAGACCAGGAAACTGAGGCCCAGAGCAGTTGCCCAAGGTGGCATAGCCAGGGTATGTCAAAAACACAGATTCTCAACACAGATCTGCCAACCTGCCACAAGGGAAGTTCCTGGCTGTGGGATCTTAAACAAGTCCTTTCCCTCACCTGTAAAATGGGATTCATGACAACCCTGCCTAACACACACAGGAGTGGGATGGACTCTCAGCTCTGCCATTCCAAAGCTAAGTTGTCTTGGCCTCTGTCTGCCTTCTAGCTAATGGGATTGTGCTAACAGCTCAGCCACCTTCCAGCTGTGAGACCTTAAACCTCAGTATCCCCACTTGGGTCACCTCAGTCTCCCACAGGTGCAGCAGGGCCCCGACTTTACTTGCCTCACGCCCACTCACCCTCCCCTCACAACACTCTCCCACAGGCCACGTTGACGCTTCTCCTGGACCACCTGCGCCTCGTCTCCTCCTTCCAGGCTCACAACCGCATGACCCCACAGAATTTGGCCGTGTGCTTCGGGCCCGTGCTGCTGCCGGCGCGCCAGGCATCCGCCCGGCCCCGCATCCGCAGTTGTGGCACAGGCGTCACCAGCGCGGTGGACTTCAAGCGCCACATCGAAGTGTTACACTACCTGCTGCAGTCTTGGCCAGGTGAGCCTGTCAGCGGCCTGGGCCGCCAATCCAGGTAGGCTGTTATGGCAGCGCCTTCTCGAGCGTCCAATCAGTCTGGTTAAAGTAGGCCACGCCCCCTCAGGTAAACCAGCAATCTGACCAATCAACCGTTGATGCGGCCAGAGGCCCCGCCTCTCAACGTGCCACTCAGAAGCCTAGTTGTCTAAGCAACCAATTCGGGCTTTACCAGTGCAATCTTAATCCGGTCCAATGCCTTGCCTTCCCAAAGGCCAACCAGGGGCCTAGTTGTGCATGACGTCATCACAAGCGCTCCCTCTCCTCCCTCAGATCCCCGGCAGTCCCCAGAGGCTCCAGATGTCGCACCGTACTTGCGGCCCAAACGACAGCCGTCCCTGCACTTGCCGCTAACAGGCCCTGAGGTGGTGACTCGGCCCCGCGGCCGCGGAGGCCCGGAGAGCCCCCCAAGCAACCGTTACGCTGGCGAGTGGAGCGTTTGCGGGCGGGACTTCCTGCCATGTGGACGGGACTTCCTGTCCGGGCCTGCCTATGACCACGTGACGGGCAGCCACAGCGATGAGGATGACGATGACGACGACGAGGCGGGTGAGCAAAGAGGCGCTGCCGACTTCGAAGATGAGTTTGATGCGCCCTTCAATCCGCACCTGAATCTCAAAGATTTTGACGCCCTCATCCTGGACCTGGAGAGAGAGCTCTCTAAGCAATTAAACGTGTGCCTCTGAACTCGTGGAGCAGGGCGGGACCCTGGTTACTAAGGCAGGGCCCTTAGTGACCTCAGAGGACCGGACGTGTTGCACAGGCCGAGCTCCTGGTTGCTAGGAGAGTGGCGAACTGGCCAGCCTCCCAAGCTGAAAGTCAGTCCCAGTTCTCTGTGCCACTTATTTGGGCACTAGTTGCCAGGGCCAGGCACGGGATTTTTAGCGACTAGCTCTTGTGGCCGTCTTTCCTGAGCACCAGGACTAAGCCTGTTGTTGCCAAAAGGCAGTTCTCCTGCTTGCCAGGCAGGCCTCTCGCCACCCCTTCGCTGGGGTGCACACCAATTACTGTGAGCATCACCCTGGGGTGCTGAGACACCTCTTAGTCCTCTTGTTGCTGCCAACCAAATCAGTATTAGCTTCGAGCACTGCACTCTTGTTTCTCCCTCCCTTGGAGGACCCAAGGACTATCATGAGGTTCTGTTTGAGGGTGAGCAGCCCCTATCCTAGGCTCCAGCTGGATAGGGACAGCCTGGGGATTGTAGAGAAACAACTGGTTTCCCCACCCTCTTTTCCAGGGAAGACCCCACGATAGGCCTCCAGCCAGCCAATGGAGATGACAGAGTCTGGCCCTTACCTTCCTCTTCTCCCCTCCCTACCCTTGAAAAAATGGAGCACTTAGCCCCTCTGTTTCAGAGGGGCCCCGCCTGAAGTGTCAGGCTGGGGCACTTTGGTACGAAACCTATTTATTGCCTCCGTGTGTGTGTGTGTGTGTGTGTGTGCGTGCGTGCGTGCGTGCGTGCGTGTGTGTGCGCGCGCGCGGGCTGATGTGCATGGCCCCACCTGGAAGTGGGTTGTGGGATTCTTCTAGGGACCACAGAGGGGTAAAGATTTCAGCCTGCCAGGTACCCCGAAATCCCCAGTAATCCAGTGAGAGAGTAAGGTCCCCTTCCTGTCTCCCTCTTTTATTGACAATAAATCAATATGCACAGGTTTTGTGACTAAATCCTCGGGCCCACATGGGTCAGAAGAGATGGTTTATTTGGTCTGTAAGAGCGGAGAGGAGATAGTGCATGGTTAGGCCTGTGGAGACAAAGGCCCGTAGCTCTCCAGGGCTGCCACGGTGCCTCTTGGAGCACAACCTCAGGGAGGATTGTGAGGTCACTGGGCCGCGTGGAATAAGTCCAGGGTGGGTGAGGATGAGACTCCAAACCAGGCACAGTCCATGTACAAAAAGGAAGCCAAGCATACTAACCCACAAGGCCCTATACGGAAATGGAGCCATCACGGAAGTCCGTCCTCCCAATGAGGATGTTGACCACGACCGGGTGGCCATCTTGGCACTGCTGCTGGCCATCACGCAGCACTTTGACCACCTGGTCCTCATTTTCCCGTGAGAGTAGCAGGCCCCGGGCCCCCAGACCTATGGCTGCCTTGTGATAATCTAAAAGAGGAGATAAGTCAGACCTAGCCCACTATGTAGCCAGCCCAGGAGAAGAACATAAGCCCAGCTGGGCCCAAAGCAGCACCTGTCAATTCCACCCACACGCCCTGCTGAGACTCCTCACCAGTATAGGCCAGGCTGCAGGCCACGTTGCTGCCCAGTCTGGGCACCTGCTCCCGGGAAATCTGGGTCCAGCCTGCATCGTTCCCTATCAATGCTATTACAGGGATCTGCAGAAAAAGATGAGTCGGGCCACAGCCTTCAGCCCAAAGGCCTGGCCAGCCAAAGGACAAGGCCTCCGGCTGACCAACAGTACCACCCCAACTCACAGTTCTTGACATCTCCCAAAACCCCAGGCTTCAAGCTTCCCCCTCAGGGCAGCCCAGTCACCTTGTGTCTGACGAATGTGTCAAACTCAATGAGGCTGTAGCCAAAGGCTCCATCCCCAAACAGGCACCAGACCTGGTAGAGGGGGACCCAGGATGGTTACAGTGGTTCACAGCCCAGAAGCCAGCAAGTCTCCCACATCCAGAGCCTCACCTCAGCATCCGGCTGGCACAATTTGGCCCCAAGTGCAAACCCTGCACCAACTCCCAGAGTCCCAAAGGCCCCTAGAAAGACAAAAGAGCAGCTGTGAAGGGTCCAGACGGTGAAAGCTGCTCAGGGTATGGGTCCTTCCTTACCAGGATCAAGCCAGCGCAGAGGGCCTCGGGGCTGTACGAGGTATGCAGCAGTAGCTACAAAGTCTCCACCATCAACCACAAGAAATGAATTGTCAGGCAGAATTTCCTCCACCAGCTGCAGGACCCGCACTGGGTTCAGGTGCTGGGCTACAGGCCTTGCTGCCTTCTCCCTGCAACAGGTTGGTGAAGGTCAGCAGGGCTAGCCATAGAGCCGGCTGGGAAAGCCCCTGCCCATTCCACTCCCCTAAGACCCACCGATAGGTCTGCTCCTTCTGCCAGTCAGCTTCCCGCAGCTCCTCTAACCAGTCTGTGGCCCATGTCTGGCCCTGAAGGCCTTGCACCAGCTTTAGCATGAAGGAGCCCACATCACCTGGTAGAGGAAGAGGTCACAGCTGCAGAGCAGTGGCTTCCTCCTGCCCTCCCAGCACCAGAGGCCAGAAGACAGCAAGAAGCCAACAGCCACATCCAAGCAGAAGGGATGGAAGCAGGCCAGGAGTGCTGCCAGGGCAAAGCGGGTGAAAGGCACAAGAGGCAGTCTGCGCAAGAGGGAAGTAAGGCCAGAGAAATGAGATTTAGGGAGTACAGAGAGCTACAGTCCCAAGTTGGATCCATGATCTCCCTGCCCCTCACGCTGCACATCACGAAGTCCTATCAATTCAGCCTCCAAAATGCATTGATAAAAACAGCTGCACTGTGGGCTGGGGAACCAGCTCAGTGGTAGAGCACGTGCCTCGCATCCACAAGGCTGAAAACAAACAAGAAAACCAGCTCCAATCATCAAGCAAGTGTCTGAAACACAGGCACGTAGGAGGTCAGACCTTTGATCAGTGCAGTGAAGGAGTAAACAGCCCAAGATGGGTTTCTCACCATCTGACTTGAGAAATGATCAGTGGAAAATCAGAGAGGTTCAGGTTCTCCCCCAGTCCATCCTGACTCTGGGCCCTGCCACTGCTGTCCTGGCCCTTTTTTAGCAGCCCCACCCTGCCTCTGCCTGTCCCTTCCAGACTGCTGCCCACCAGCTCTAGGGTGGACTTTCCCAAACAAACACAAAAATGCCACTTCTCTGCTTAACCCGAATACCTGTCACCTATGCTTCAGGGGAAAGTCACTGTCTTTAGAACCATCCGCAAAGTAGGGCATGGGAAGGGACTGAAATCAGGAGGGACAGGACAGCAGAAAAGCTCAGGGGCTAAGGAATAAGCTCTCTGTCCTAAGGGTAGTGGGCAGCGTGGCAGGGTCTACCCTGGCCATGTGATCATGTGTACATTCCCTCCCTGCCCTCCTCCCATCTGTTCCTATAAAGGCACCCATGGGTCTGAGAGCCAAGTATGTGTCTCTGGTTATCTTAGGGGCAGGGCCTGGGCCTTCATCTCTGACACCCAACTCAAGGCAGCTGCAGTATAAGCCAGGAGGAGAGGGATCACGTACATGGTGGGGACACTGCAGAGCTCACCCTGCACGGCCTCCTGGGGCTTCCAGAAGATGTCTGAGTTCAGCAACAACTCCTCCCGGTTCCGATTGACGATGATAATCTTGCTGCGGCGGCTCAGGACACGGCCATAGGAGAGGCGGAAGTCACACACGGCTCCTGGGGCAAGGGACAGGGCATCAGTACAAAGAGGCCCAGCATCCTGGGCAACACCCATGACCTAACTTCTGATCCACTGTTACTGACTATAAAGGGTCCCTGTGCTTTCTGCAATGACCCTACAGCTCTCAAATCAGGGCTGACCCCAGGAGTAGCCCTTGTCAACTAGGTGTGGCAGAAGCAATGGTCTCCCATTCCTGAGAACAGATTTCAAGAGGCTTCGAAAGCTGGGGGTGCAGCTCAGTGTAGAGCACTTGCCTAGCATGTGTGAGGCCCTGGGTTCCACCCCCAGCACCACAACAAAAACAAACAGATGGAAAGAGGGAAGGAGGAACAGGGCAGGAAAGGGGAGAGATGGGGAGGGGAGGATGTTTCTCACTCTCCAGTGACCCAGCCTGGCCTGGCCTGCTTGAGGATGCAGAACACAGTGAGCACTGGATGCAGGCGGAGACTCAGCTGAAGCCTTCTAGACCCTACAGAGCCAGCCAAACCCAAACAGCCAAGACAGCCCCAGCCCCACCTGGATCACACCACAGCCTCCCTGCTGACTTCACTCTCAACTCACGAACAAGCCCAGCCAAATCCAATTTATTCTGTTTTGTTTTGTTTTGTTTTTACAGTGCTGGGAATGGAACGCAGAGCCTCAGCCATGCTAAACAAGCATCTACCACTAAGCTGAAACCCCAGCCCTATGCGTTGAGAAATCAAAGGCATCCTAAGCCTTTGAGTTTGGGGATGGTTCTTACAGTCTTGCATCGAGTAAGCACATTTCAGTCAACAACATACATACACAGCTGGACCTGTGTGACACCACTGCCTCGTGACATCGCAGCCACCTTGGTTTATATTTGGTGACGTTCACATGGCAACAAAATGGCCTAATAACACATTTCTCTGAACACATATGCCAGTCATTAAGCAACACATGTCTGTATAAAGCAAGAGCTCAGTCAGGTGTGGTGCACACCAGTCATCCCAGCCCTTTGGGAGGCAGAGGCAGGAGGAACAAAAGTCTGAGGCCAACCTGGGCAACCTGGGAACTCAGACCCTGTCTCAAAATCAAAAATAAAAAGTGTTGGGATGTAGCTCAGTGGGAAGGCCTTGGGTTCCATCCCTAGTAAAGACAGGGGGAAGCTAAGTGATACGCCTAGCATGCATTCATCGGGATTCAAAGCACTTTATGTGAAAATGTGCGTGAGACACAGCAGATACCCTCAAGGCATCTGTCCTCGGGGGTAAGCTGAGTCACACATAGGACTGCAGACTGTGGAAGGTTCACTTGAATTTCAAGTTCAGAGTTATTCTGAGCCAGAGAAATAAAAAGGAGGTTAAGGCAGAGGAAAGATGGTACGCTGACAGGATGGTGGGGAGCCAGGAAGGAGAAGGGGTACAGTCCGGCGGGGAGGGGCTCTCAGAGAGAGGGAGAAGCGGAGCCCCACCTGCCAGGATGACGACATCTGCCTTCTTCAGGGCTGCACCACGGTTCTGCCGGATGTGGAGGGGGTGGTTGCGGCCCAGCAGCCCACGAGCCATTCCCCCCAGGAAGCAGGGGACACCTAGGGTCTCCACAGCAGCCCTGAATGTCCAGGCAGAGCAGAGGTCAGTGTGGCCAAGGGCCTGTCCCCTCCCCGCAGGGCACTGAAAGACCAGGGACCAGGGACATGGCTGGCAGCAGGGCTGGGCCTCACCGAAGCTTGTTGGCGGGCGTCGGGGGCAACAGAGCTTGGCTGCCCAGTAGCAGCAGGGGCCTCTTACCCCGGCTCAGGATCTCCACACAGCGTTGAACCTGGTGCAAGAGTTGGGGTTCACAGGGTCATCCCTGAGTCACTATCAGTCCCCGATCCTGGCTCAGGAAAAGGGTCTGCAGGTGCCAGCCAGGTGGGAGTCCTAGGCCAGGGGAGGGAAGTGATTCACCTGAAGGGGGGATGCCTGGGGGATGTCCAGGGGCAGGGGCCCCTCGGGCTGAGGCTCCCATGCACCCGCAAAGAGGTTAGCCAGGCAATTCTGTAAATACCTGAGGGAGGAGAGGAAGGAGCCAAATTACCAGGATTCTGGGAGCTAAGGAAGGCCAGGTGCTAGGAAGGGGCTGGAAGCAAAGGAGAAAGGAACAGAGTAGAGTAGACCTAGAGCAGTGATGGCGAACCTTTTAGAGCTTTCAATGATAACAGAAAGCTGGCTGTGGCACACGTGCCATAGGTTCACCACCAGTGACGGAGAGGCACCAAGCTGCCAAGTTTCCAGCTACCTGTTTGTCCCAGAAGCCTCTGGGGGCCATGCCAATTTGACACAATGCCGTTATACCAACAAGCAACTCAAGCCCAGGTGCCTGCGAGTCAGGCACATGGGCCTGGGCCTCAGCTCCATCCCAAGCTTCAACTATCTGTCCACATAAGTAATAAGGCACTCTGCAAAACACTCAACCCTTGGGAGTTACTAACATCTTCCTCTCTGGCTTCTTACAATGTTTGTCTGCTTATTCACTGGGCCATGGGCCTAGAGTTTCCTTAAGGCTCTGTGTTGTGCCCCGGAGACACAAAGAGAAATCTTATCCATGCCTTGCCCTCAAGGAACACTCAATCCAGCTAGAAACAGGCCCAGGAGCAATGGCAAGAAGTAGTCAGGGCTTGGAGCCAGGATCCTGTTCTATCTGTTAAGGAGTCAGGATTGCAGAAAGGGAGATGAAGTCTAAGACGGAACTGTGGGACCTACAGTTGAAAGGGAATGAAAGGGAAGAAAGAACCAGCTTTGCAAAGGAGAGAACAAGGGGCAAAGGGGGCAGGTGACCAGCAGGCCAGAGAGCAAAACTTTAAGAACAAGGCCACAGAACAAAATCACTACTGATTGACCCAGCCCTTCAAGCACTTCTCACACACCCAAAGCACAGGGACCCATCTTGTCGATCAGGGTCACCCCAGGCCTCTCCTAGGACCTGGTACATCACTGGGGATTAGTAAATATTTGGAAGGGGAAGAGCAAGAACAAGCAAAGGAGCTGCTCTAACTCAGCCCCTGCTCAGCTGCTGCCACAAGGGCCACACCTTGCTTTTCCAACCCAGCGAGTTCATTCCTGCCTCAGGACCTTTGAACATGCTGTTCCTTTCACCTAGATTGCTCTCCCCACAGCCTGCCCCTCTGGGCCATGCGCAAACCAGTGAATGAGTCAAAGGAGGGTGGGTATGCAGAGAGAAAAGCCTGCATGAGACAGCAGGGGACAGAAGAGGGCACAGTGGGGATGACATTATTCACCAGGACGTCACTCGACCCATGAGGCCCTTCGGTGGCTTGGCTGGCACCATCTCCTTTTGGACCATGAAGTAGGGGTACAGTACATCAAGAGGCAGCTCCACAAACACAGGACCTGTCCAGACAGAAAGGAAGCCGAGCCTGGAGCACTGCGCTCAGCCCCTGACCACTGCCCAGCACCCTACCCCACCTACCTGGGGTACCCGACTGGGCAGCGGCCATCGCGGACCTCAGCGTGGGCACAATGTCCCGCACTCTCCGCACAGACACACACAACTTGCAGAGCGGCCGGAACAGGGACATCTGATCGATGGCCTGGAGCGCACCCCGTTTCTGGCAGCAACAAGGTAGGACAGCTACCATGGGAGCCCCTGGAGCCTTCCTTCCTGGGGTCCCCACCACCGGGCAAATACTGGGCACCTGCAGCAGGGTACTAGCAGCTCCACCTAGCAGCAGGATCGGGGACTGTGCCACCTGAGCATTCTTCACAGCAGTCACCGTGTTGGTGAGACCAGGACCGGCTGTCACTGCCGCCACGCCCACAGTCCCTGGAACACACCCCCGTCAGGGCCATGCCCATCCTCCCTGCCAACCTCCTACCCCCACAAAATCCCCACCTCTCACTCTCAGACACCTACGCCACTGTCCCGCCAGACACCAGCTCTCTCTGCACCGCCCTCACCTGTCAGGCGAGCCACAGCATCAGCAGCAAAGACAGCTGTGACCTCGTGGCGTGTGTCCACCACCCGGATGCCCAGCTTCTCACAGGCCACCAGGAGCGGAGAAATGTGCCCCCCAACCAGTGTGAAGAGGAATCGCACACCATGGGCCCTCAGCACGGCTGCCACATTCTCCCCACCATGCCGGACACTCGCCCCGTCCACCTGGGCCAGGGGTGAGAAAAGCAACATGGTGAAGGAGCCAGGCACAGTAATCCCAGGACTGAGGGAGGCCAAAGCAGGATCACAAGTTTGAGTCCCACCAGGGCAACTTAGTGAGACCCTGCCTCAAAATAAATAAAAAGGGCTGGGGATATAGCTCAGTGGTAAAGCATCCCTGGGTTTGATCAAAAATAAAAACACTGTCAAGGGCCAGTGCACAGGCAGCTGGGAGAGGAACAGAAACAGGGACAGAAGTCAGAGGAACTTGGGTGTTGGTTAAATACACACCATACTACAGATTAGGCCCAGAAAAGGACCTATCATCTTATCAAAGTCTCTTGTCTTTGTATTTCTTATACAGGTAAGGATACCAAGACTGGCCCAAGAAAGATTCAAAGTCCAACAGAACCCATATTCTTTTTTTTTTTGCGGGGGGGGGGGGGTACCGGGGATCGAACTTGTGACCTTGCCCTTTCGAGGCAGGCACCGGAACCACTGAGCTAAATCCCCAGCCCAAGAACCCACATTCTTAATTGCCACTGTCACACTGCCTGATTCAAGAGATGTGGAGCAATCAGGAGAGGATAGGAAAGGTGTAAATATAGAAGGTAGAGGAGTTTGGCCAGGGGCAGGAGGCTACCAGCTGACCTCCTCCCTGCTCTGTGATGTCCCTGCAGGGCCTGGCACCTGGACTGCTGACTCCAGCCCACCTGACTCCCTCCCAACACTGCTGAGCAGGTCTGGGTCCAACTGACACACTGTCAGCCACACACGGCTGACCCCTGCCTGTACAAACTGCATGGACCCTTAGCCCTAGCACCCACACAGTCACACATCTCCAGGTCAGCAGCATTGCTCTTGGCGAGAAGAGGAAGGACTGGAGAAAGGGTTTGGGGAACAGGTAAATTTCTGACAGAGGAACTAGAGGTTCAGAAAGAGACTTGTGAGGTCAGCTGTTCCCAAACAGATCACCTGGGCCAAACTGCAAAACAACCTCTCTGGCCAAACAAGTCACATGCAGCAGACCGCTGAACAACCTCTCTGGGCCTCAGTCTCCTTATGGAAATGTGCACAAAAACAGAAGCAAATACTTGCAGGGAGGTGATAAGGGATATGTAAGAAAATCCCTCTAAAACATTAAGCTTGGCAGAGAACTGTCAGCCCTTTTCCTGCCCACCTTTGTTTCAGCCCACTGATCCCACTTGATTTAGGAAGCACAATCCTAGTGCTGTCTCTACTCTGCAAAAAGGGTTCAAGCCCAGGGGTATGGAGGTAGGAGGGGTGTGACTGCTCAGGCAGTGGTTGCTTCCCTTATCTCTAACTAGTGTCAAAGTCCAGGGCCCATATACCGCTTGGCATTGGAGACAAAGCCCTGCACAGAAACTTCCAGCCAACCACTCTAGACCAGTCAGGACTCGCTTTCCCCACCTGTAGAAAGAGCCAGCCGGAAGAAGCACCCTAAGAGCCCTCCTTCTTTGGCAGCCCCCAGCCGGCCTCCCGCCAGTGCCCTGGAACCTTGTGCATCAGCTGATAAAAAAGCCCCAGTCTGTGAGCAGCCATCAGCAGGGCAGCCACCAGCGTCCCGCACGCCAGAAGCAGGAACGAGGGGAAGGAGCCCTCCGCAGGGGTGGCAGGGGTGGCGGTGGCGGCGGTGGCGGCGGTGGTGGCGGCGGCGGCGGCGGCGGCGGCGGGGGTCTCCATGAGGTAGTACCTAAAGGAAAAAGCGCAGTGCTAATACTGGGGCTAAACACAGTATCTAATCCGGAAAAAAGCGCGTCCCCTACTTCACTAGGCTTGGACCACGCCCCTTGCCGGGAGCTTCCGCGCGCGCGGCAAGGCCCCCAATTCTGCCAAGCTACGCCCCACACACAAGACTGAGGCCACCCAAGGCCAGGCCACGCCTCTCGTGAAGGTGGGGACATGAGGCAGGCAATGACAGGAAAGGGGAGGCGGGACCTGCACACAAAGCGGCCAGTAGAGACAGAGCTCTTATGGGAGTCCTTATACGCCCCACCCACTTGTCACTGACATTCAAATTAAGCCACCACGAGTAAATGCAACGACAACGGCATCAAAACAAAGTATTTTTTTCCGCACGTACCTGTATGTCAATCTATGGGCGGGAAGCCCCGCCCCTCGCTTACACAGGACCCAGAACCTCGGGCCCCAGTGGTGAGCCCGCCCCACGTGGTCACCGTGAAGCACGGAGCCACGGCCCCCCAGTTAGGAATGTGCGACCCCCCCCGCCCCGCCCAAGCCACGCTTCTTCCCTGTAGAGAGCGCGAGCGCGGAGCCCGAGCTTGACTCTCCACCCCAAGCCAGGAGCGGAGGTCAAATACCACCAGGATGCTTCTCCAGCGGCGGACCGACCTCTAGGGTCCCTCAACCTTCACCTACAAGAAACAGCCCTAACGACAGCGGAATTCGGCGCTCTCTGTGCCACGTGACCCCGGCGTGCGCCGCCGCTCCTTTCGCCCACTTGGCTCCGCGGCACCCGTAGTCTGGCCGGATGCGCGTGCGCAGAACCGGAGCCACACTCGGGGCGGGGGGGGGGAATCACCCTTAAGAGCCCTGTATCGGCCGCCTCCCCTCGCCTTTCATTGGCTTGCGTTGCAGATCTCATGCCCCTTCCACTTTTCATCAGGAGGCCGTGGCCCTAGGTGTCCTCCATTAGCCAAGACCCTCGCAGGCCCGCCTTCCGCAGCCATCCATTGGCCCCATGCTGCAGATCTTTAGCTATGGGTCCTCCAAGCGCAGCTCGCTTTCCAAACCAGCTTAGCCATATTCCTAGGCGTGACCGCCCCTCAGAGATCACCATCCGGGAACTCGTTCCCTGAAAGCCGTGCTCTCGTCCGTAGCCACGCCCCTGCTCGCGGTCCCCGTCCCCTCGAGGATCTTGGAGTTTCTCTTCCTTTAAGTGCAGCGATCAGGCTCTGGGAAACGCCCTGGTTGCCGGTTCCAGTCTGCATTCAACAGTATTCCACCTATCCAGCTCCTGGAAAATGATCTCCCTGTTAAGAAGGAATCGTTCTTGCAGCGAGCGCCCGCTTCTATTTTTAGCAATAGCCTCCCTGAGTTATCTATACTCAGTGAGTCTCCCAATTTTCTCTTGAACCCAATCCAAACTGGCTCTTCCATGACACCCCTTGGTAATTGTTCAGGATTATTCCAGCAGTCTCCAAATCGGTTGTTCCCCCTCCTTTTTCTCACTCAACCCCACCCTTCAGAGCAGTCTGGGAGAGTCACCCCTGCCTGGCACTATTTAATGAGGACCCATAATTAACAGGATAAAACAAACTTTCCAAAGGGCCTTCCATGATCGATTAAACTCCCAAAGCCAATATGAAATAGTGTTCGTTACTGTTTGGTCAAGCATATATTACATGCAAGAGGCTAAGCCAGGCCTGGTGGTGCACACCTGTCACTACAGCACTCTGAAAGGCTGAGGTAAGAAGAGTGCAAGTTCAAGTCCAGCCTGGGCAAGTTAGGAACTAAGGCAGATCCTGTCTCAAAATAAAACTTTAAAAAGGCTGGTGAGGGATGTAGCTCAAAGGCCCTAGGTTCACTTCCCCAGTAGGGCAGGGAAAAAGAAGCGAGAGTTTCCTGCACTTTTCACATATTAGCTCATTTAATCCTGACAACACCCCTGTAGGGGAGGCTGACTATGTTTATTTTACAGGTGAGGAAACTGGAACACAGAGTTCTTACCCACGATCACACAGCTTGCACATGGTAGAGGCAGAATGGGAACTCGGGCAGAGCAGCCTGGGTCTGCAGAGTGGGAGCACCCGAAAAAGGACTGTTTTGAGCCACAACTGCCTTCCCCATGCCTATCAAAGGATGTAGCTTTTGGGGCCCACTCATTCCCTTGCACCTACCTCCTGGCTGCAGCACCTGCATCTGTTGTTCAATCTCTCTGCCCATTTTACCCAGCAGTGCAATGAGCCAGAGGGCTGACGGCTTCACATCTCCCTCCCATAGAGCAGCCCTCAATCCAGGACATTGGTGGCTAAATAGCCAAGCCTCTTGGCCCTTGGATGGGACAGTTCACAGATGTGCTTCTACATGGGAACTTGCTTGATATCACGCCCTTCAACCTTCACCTTCCTCTCCAAACTCTTCCCACTCCTACTAGACTTCCCCTGGATCATCTATCAGACATCTCACACTTGCTTAGTCCCCATCCAGGAGATGCAATCTAAGACCAGAGCTTGGTACAAGGCATATTCATCCAGCTCTGCTAAATGGAGAACTGATTGCTCACCCACACAAGCAGCCAACAAAAAATCCTGACCCTCTTAGCTTCCTCTTGTCCAGAAGCACCAGCTGCTAACCAGAGAATTCACTTTTCAAACAGTGATTGGTGTTTCTCCAGCAAATTCTAAGGCAAGGTGATGAACTTTGCCCCTCTTGTCACGAGCCTGTCAGATTCAGGTATAGCTGAAACTCATCTCATTGTGGAAATCGTTTCTATCACCCTGCAGCCAGGTTATAAATCAACCCGATAGACCTTAACACAAGGTCTCCAAAAACCATCCCGCCTCCCAGCCCTGTATAGATAGATAGATAGATAGATAGATAGATAGATAGATAGATAGATAGATGGCAGTGTCTTGCTATGTTGCCCCCGCTGGGACTGCAGGTGGCACTACTGCACTTGCTGTCTTGAACTTAACCTGTTGGAACTTCACATTCATAACCTTGACCACATCCTTCTCCTCTCTCTCTCTACCCTAAACTTTTTTTCTTTTTTTCCAGTACCAGGAATCAAACTCAGGACCTTCCACTTGCCCGGCAGGTGCAACACCACTGAGCTACATCCCCAGCCCTCTCCTAAACTTATATTATTTTCAGTGCTGGAGATGGAACCCAGATGCATTCTACCACTAAGTTATGCCCGCAGCCTCTTTTATTTTTTATTTTTACACAGGGTCTCTGTTTAAGTTGCCTAGTGGGACTTGAACTTGGGATCCTCCTGCTTCTACTCCTTACTGTAGACTTCTTTAAATAATGGAATAATTTTAGGTTTAAATTTTACAGAAAAATATGTGAAAATAGTAACAAGAGTTCCCATATTTCCTTCACTCAGCTTACTCCATTGCTTTTTTTGTTTTGTTTTGTTTTTGTTTTGTATTGTTTTATTTTGAGATAGAGGCTCACTGTATAGCCCAGGCTGGCCTTGAACTCATGACAATCCTCCTCCCTCAGCCTCCTGAGTGCTGAGATGACAATCCTGCACCACCACACCTGGCACCATTGTTAATACCTTATAATAACCAGGATGCCTTTGTTAAAACTAAGAAGCCAACATTAGCACATTACTATTAACTAAATTATAGACTTCATTTCAATGTCACCAGTTTTTCTGTTACTTTTTTTTCTGTCCCACAATCCCATCCAGAATCCTACGTTGCATTTAGTCACCTCAACTTTGATCTCTCAGTGAGAAACCATGGGCCAGCCATTATTTCAAACACTTTGAAAGTATTTACTCAAGCCTGACATAATGGCACATACCTGTAGTTCCAGTTACTAGGGAGGCTGAGGCAGGCGGATCAAAGTTGAAGGGCAATTTAGCAAGACCCTGCCTCGAATAAAAATTTTTGTAAAGTATTACTGTTTTTATCCATATAACAACCCTGTGCATGAAATAGATAATCATCCCTCAATATCCAACTTTTTCCAGGCTCCTCTGCAGAAACCAAAATCTGTGGATGTTCAAGTCCTATATAAAATGGTGTAGTGTGTGCACACAACCTATGCCCATCCTTCTGTAGGCTATCAATCCTCTCTAGAGGATTTATAACACCTAATGCAATATAAATGTGATGCACTTATATTCATTGCTGAGGAAACAATGACAAGAAAAAAAGTCTGTATGTGTTCAATAAAGACCCAGTTTATTTTTTCAAATATATATATTAGTTTTTTGAGACAGGGTCTCACTATGTAGTCCAGGCTGGCCTTGGACTCACTATGTAACCCAGGCTGGTCTCAAACTCATAGCAATCCTCCTGCCTCAGCCTCCCGAGTGCCGGGATGACAGGTGCATAGCACCACACCCAGCAACCTTTTCAAACATCTTCAGTCTGTGGTTAGTTGAATCTGTGGAAACAGAGCCTGCAGACACACAGGGCCAGCTATCCTGACTCCTCTGATCCTCATAACAACCCTATGAAGTGGACAGCATATTTCTCCAGTAAGAAACAATAAAGAGAGGTGGACAAGATCAGCAAAGCCACAGGTTCAGGGAACCGCAGAGCTGTGCTCTGAGTGCAGAAGACCAGCTCCAAAGTAGGCGCTCTTGTTCCCCATGAGGCGTCATTTCTTGGGAGAGAAGCTCCCTCCCCTTGTGTAGCTTCGTCCTAAACAATATTACAGAGGAAATCACATTTTGATGTACAGTATCAGTTATGTATTTTCTAATGTACTTTAAAAGAAGTGCATCATAAACCAGGCATGGTGGGGCATGCCTATAATCCCAGCACTCTGGGAAGCTGAAGCAGGAGGATACTAAATCAGCCTGGAAAGCTTAATGACTTAGCAAGGCCCTGTCTCAAAATAAAAGAGCTTTAAAGGGCTGGCAATGTAGGTCAGTGCAAATGTCCTGTATTCAATCCACAGTATCACAGAAAAATAAAATGAAAGCATCACTAATAAAAAGCATATCTGTTGGGGCTGGGGGTGTGGCTCAGTGGTAGAGTGCTTGCCTAGCATGCATAAGGCCTTGGTTCAATCCCCAACACTCCAAAAACGAAAAGAAAAAACGTTTCTTGGTTTAAAAAACAAAAAGCACAACCACACAGTAGTGCACACAGTAGCACTGAGGAGGCCAATGCAGGAGGATCACAGCAAGTTCAAGGTCAGCCTGGGCTACATAGCAAGAACCTGTCTCAAAAAAATAATTAATTGGACCAGGGATTTAGCTTAGTGGTTTCGCCAACTGCTGAACAAGCTCAAGGACCCGATTTTGATCCTTGGTACCAAAAAAAAAACACTAAAAGTAATTAATTAATTAAAGTAAATTTAAAAAAAATTTTAAAACCATCCATCTTTCTAGCCCTACAATCATAAAGGAAATACATTTTGCAGTTTTGGAGCTGGCAAGCATGTGCCCTGTCATTGTCTACACTGACAGTTTCCATGCCTAGAGCTAATCGGAGAGCTTTCCAAAGATTGCATCTCCTGACAGCCACACCCTGGGTTTGCTTTCATTTACTGCGTCCTTACCCAGACCTACATTTAGCTGATCTCACACTGCAGGCCAGCCACCAGGAGAACAAGGCAGCACAAATCCAGTGTTCGTGTATTTCATTTCTTAGGACTGCCTTCACTCCCTGAGTAGCTTAAAACAGTAAAAACAGACTCTCTCACTGTGCAGAAATCCCAAATCGAGATGTCAGCAAAAGAGGGTCCTTCTGGAGGCTCTGAAGGACAGTGGCTCCTCCTGGCTAGGGGAGGCCGAAGTCATCTTTGACATTCGCCACACTTCCCTTTCCTGAGCTGGGGATGAAACCCAGGGCCTTCCACAGACAAGCGCTCACCACTGCACCCCCCGACCTCCTATCCATCCAGTCTTTCCCATCTCTTCAGCCAGCATTTCGTCACCTTCTTCTCCGTGTCTCAACTTGTCTTTTTCTGCCTCTGCTAAGGACCTTGGCCATTAGACTTAGGCCTCACTCTCCTCCAGCGTGATCTCATCTCCAGGTCCTCACCTGGATTACATCTGCAGGGATGCATTTCCCAACAATCTGAACTTCTAGTTGGACATGAACTTGGGGAGAACACTATTCCATGCACGTCACTTGGAAAATAGATTCTCTCTTGGAATTTGGAAGCAGAGAAGGAAGCAGGGAGGTAGGGGTTAGAAGCAGTGGGAGATGGGAAGATCCTGAGAGATAAAGGATGCTCAGATGCTCGTGTAAGATGCAAGAGCCATGAGGTAGAAAGAAAAGAAAAAGTGAGAAAACTATCGAGGACCTGGTTCACAATCTTACAAGAGCTA